TCCGCCAATCCGCTGCTTGCCCGGATGCCTTGGGCCAAGCGCGCGCGTGTGTGGGTATGAGTGCGTGCTCCCTTCATAGGGTGGAAGAAAAACACAATTTTCCTCTATCCCCCATTCTTCCTTCCCACTCTTCCATCCCTCCAAAGGCACAGCCCTGGCGAGGCTTAGCTTCGGGGGTCTGGCTTATCCTTATCCTAGTGTTTTTGTATTTTGATGTTGCGGCGCATGTGTCTGTGAGCGCGATATCTTAATCTTAAGGAAACATGACATCCAGCACCATATATCGTGCATATAGGTTAAGCTATGTATACATGTGTGTGTACTATTCACCATTGGTTATGGCATTTGTGTCTGTAAAATTATAAGTATCATTATCGTGATTCTTATTGGTAGTTATTATCATTATACTACCATTATTATTAGCCTTATTGATATTACGATCATCATTATTATATATATGTTTGTATGTACATATATACATACAAATATCATCTGTATATACACAGAAAACAAAAAGAAAAGAAATTAAATTGCGCGTAAAGAAATAAATAAATGTTATCAATCAAATAAGTTAGTATTTGTGGTGTGCATATATGTCATCGGTAAAGTAATAGACAATAATTAATAAGTGAATTTATTTTTCATCGATCAACACCGAACATATATTCGGACGGTCTCCGGGAGCGCGAATGGGCGGAGCGGCGGTGGGCGCTGAGGTGCCAGCGTGTGGGAAACCTCTCGCCGCAGCAGAGCACCGGCTCCTGAAGCTGCCTATGGTGTCGCCGGCGGTGCGTGTGGATGCTCGTCTCCAGGATCTCCTTCCCGCAGTCCTCGCACGTGACGTAGGCCCTGGATCCCTCGGCCGGGGGGCGAGGGGCGCCGACCGGGGTCCGCTGGCCTGCAGCAGGAGTGGCAGGGTAGGGACGGTGGGCGCCTGGGAAGTGCGGGAGGAGGTGCTGCAGGCCGTGGAGGGCCGGGTGGGGAGGGGGGACCAGGCCCCGAGCGAGCATGTAGGGCAGAAGGGGAAAGGCCGGCAGGACGGGGCTCGGAGAGGGCGTCGAAGGGGAGGAGGGGCTGTGCACAGGCGGGGAGGGCGTTGATCGAGCGTTCCCCTGAAGTTCCCTCAGGTCAGCAAGGGCGCCGTGGCCCCGGAGAGCTTCTGTGGGCGGCGAGGGCGTCGCGCGAAGGAACTCTTGAGAGCTCGCCTGACTTTCGGGCGAAGACGGGGGCGTGAAGTCTACGTGACGCTTCTTGAGAGGAAGCGGGACTTCGTTGGCGGAGGGCAAGGCGATGTTGTATCGCCAAGCGATGTCCGAGAGCTCCTCCTCGGCCTCTTCCAGGACCTCGCCCTGGAGGCGTCGCAGCAGCCAGGTCATCTGCTTGGGCGTCACGTCGGGCATCAGCAGCACAGGCGAAGCGCAGCCGTCGAGAGCGCCCTCGAGGCAAGGCGAGGCGCTGACGAGCAGGCCGCGCGGCACCCTGACCACGTCGCCGGAGCTGCCCACCAGACACACCGAGGGCGACTCTCGCTCGAGGCTCTTCGCAAAGGGAGACATGGCTGGGGATTTGCGATGAGATGAGAAAGCGGACACTGATACTGATGGAAGCGCAGTGACAGCATTTATTGCGTTACGGAGAAACGGGGAGAGGTGTTTGGGCGAGGGAACTCGGCAGAGGAGGCAGTCACAGTGAACCACCTTGTTTGTGTGCCAATTAACCAGTAGTTAGAGCTGAGAATACGTATATATATATATATATATATA